CCGGACGCGGCTACTCTTTGCCTTTTGTTGAGCACCCACTAAGTACCCACAGTCTCGGCAACTAATGGGTACAAATTCCACGGGCAGGCCAGAACAACAAAGCAAAAAACAAACAACAAAAAAAAGGACACCTAACTCTCAACATCATGATAGAACATACTAGTTTTGAAAGGATTGTAGAATTACTAGTTTTTGTGTGTTAGAGGTGAAAATCTCTGTGCAAAGACACTACTACAAGATTAAATTCTTTCCATTTGCAGTGATGAGAACACTCCTGAAGAGAGGTTAGCAAGGAAGAAAAAACCATCCCTTTATGCCAGAGGAAGAGAGGGCTGTGTTTGTTTGCATGACAACTATGATACTTGATTCATAATTTAAAATTATTCTGTTCAGTATTACCTTCTGAGCTGTTATGATTGTAGAGAAAACTTTTCAAATGAGTCTTAATATGACATGATGCATGACTGGCTTTGAAAGGCCTCATCTAGGCAGTCATGCTTGTTTAACTGAAGTCATGATGCTAAATGAATGCAATTTTTGATATGGGCACTTATCAGATTTGCTTGCACTTACAAATTGCAGATGTAATTGATATGATCTGTTTTAAATAGATATAAATGGGTCTCCATAATGTTGTGGTGGTTTAAATTCATGCCACTTCTTTCATAGAGCTCTAGTATTTTGACAGGCAGCCCTGTTGACAATGCTGAGCTGCATAGGACTTGCTTGAGGAAACTCATCAGGAAAATGAAACTGGCAAGACCAGTCCATTCGGTAACAAAATACTGAAAATGGAATTAGCTGAAGAGAGTGACATGAATGACCAAAGGTGTGGAGAACTTCTATGCAAGAACCTACCAAGCACTCCAGGTCCTTTCAAGCTGGAAAACATGACTGCAAGGGACCCAATATAGTTCTGTATCTTCTGCATGCTATTTGTAGCTTTAAACAAAGAATAACTGTAATAAAGAATTAGATGAATAAAAATTCGAAAGAAAAGGTTTAAATAAAGTATATGTAATTGTAAATGATGAAAATATGGAATGAGAAATCCTCCTCCAGGTCGAGGCAGGATTTCTCTTCCAAAGCAACAGATTGCAGCCAAGCACCCAGATAACAATCGCAAGCAGGCACATCAGCCCCGAAAGAATGAACAGGACACGGGCCATCGAACAAACAAAAGAACAGGCCCGGGCGAGATATCGCCGAGCCTGAGCACCTCCGCCCTGCCCACCTGTGCTGGAGAAATGGAGAAACTAGACAAAGGAAGAGGAGCCAGCCGAGATAGCCATCAGCTCCAGGATGGGTGCCACCACTCCACCCTAATGGCCCGGACCAAAATGATATCAAAAAGACATCCTGGACCTCTTTACATATGAGGAGCCTCTGCCCAACGTCTATTGACCCTATTCTCCGGTGCCAGGAAATCTATTCTTCGAACAATTAAGAACCTCTTAGCAAAGGGTGCCTGCTTGGAATTTGGCCTTGGGACACAAACTTCCTATAAAAACCCAGGCCAAAGGACTCTCAAGTGTGGATTTGGGAGCATCTATACCTTGCGTATAGACCCTGTCCACCCAGCGCTGCGCTGCTTATTTTATTGTGGTTTTTTCTCTTTGTTCGAATTTATTATTGTTTGATAATAAATTTTCTCTTTTATATAACCCGAAATTGCCTTTGCATTTATAACAATAACCATACACTGTCAATAGAAAGTTAGGGCTATCGAAAGCAGCAGCTGACCAGCTCAGAACAAACAGGAGGTTCTTCCCATAACCTGCTGTGAAACTTCTTGCAAAGGATATTGTAACCATTAAGAATATACTTGCAGGTCAGGCAGCAACAGAAAAAAAACCAAATCAGATAAGCAGAAAAGTGCTTAAAGGCAGTGCATGGGCAGCAAAATGTCAGGTGTGTTTCTAGAAAGCATTGTTACATGTGTTGCTGCTTCTGACAGGGTAATGGCTGAGCAGTGTGTATAGAAGAGCATAAAGAATAGGGAAAAGACCGACACAGTTTATACTTAGTTAAGCTGTTCTTGCAGAAGTTTTCAAAAATCTGGCTCACATGTTCTGTGGTCACATCTGTGTGTGGGCCTGCAAAGCCACTGGTCTGGATTGAGGCAGGATGCGCTGACTAGTGAAATGGTCCCTGCAAAGCTGAAGGAGGAGGTGTAGGTAGGATTCAGCCTTTCCTCCTTTAGTAACACGCAGGGTTTTTCTTTAGGAGTCATCTTGCTGGTGGATCATCCTCTGCTGTGAATAGTTTGTCTGGTGAATATTTCCAAGCATGCTGTGGGTCGAATGTCTGTGAAATGATTTTCTAGTGTGCAAAATGATTCCAAGAACATGGAGAAAAAGGAAGTGTGTCCATGAACAGCAAGTTAGCACTTGAATTTAAACAAAATTTGTCTCTGCTGGACTGATTTTAATAATCCAGCCAAATTTGTGGATGCAGGAGCCATTAATTCTTCTCTGAAAGAATGGCTCAAAAGTGCTGGCAGGTGACAAGGCACGTAAAGACTGCTCAGGGGAGGGTTTTCGGCTTTGCCCCCACCTTTTCAGTTCGCTTTGATCTGTTTTATGAGGGTCAGAAGATGAAAACCTCATTACCTAATGCTGTTGGATGTCAGCTTATGTGTGATATGGCTCTTTGCCAGTATCTTAATTAGGGAATTCATAAAAGCAGAAGGTGGTTGCCGGTTCTTGAAAAGCACTTTTAGCGTTTCTGCAGAAAAGAAAGCTTTCATTAATTCACTGCAAAATGTATTAAATGGGATCCAGCTCAATTCTATAAGCAAAGCTGCTTCTTTTTCACTTTTCTGTTAGCCTTTATGTGAGCCATTTCAGGCTCCCTGCCCAAGATGGTCCAAACAAATGGAATTTGAAATAAGCATGTAAGTCAGTTTGGATTGAAATCCATTCCAGGTCTCTCTGGTTTAAAAAGGTTTCCAGATCATGAGCAAGTCTTACCAGAATTCAGCAAAAATAGCTGAATGCCTTGTCATAACTGTGGAGCAAAGGAAGCACGTGGTCTTATATCCCTGTATGCATCCAAAGCTACTGGGACTTGACTTTCTGGAGTGTCTTCTGAGGAGCTTCAGAAGGGCAGCTGTGTGTGCCCAGATCTGTGGCCTGGATGTGAAGCACATGTTTCACTCCCCCTTTTTAACTGGAACTACTTAAAGATGTTGCTGTGAAGAAACCCCTGTGACTGCTACCATCTGTGTGAACCTGAGGGGCTGTCATGTGAGCTTTCAGCTTCCTGCATTTCAACTCTGTCCCACAGAGGAAAGGAGAGCTAAAAGGAGGAAGGGTTCATCTATGCAACTTAGGAGGTACTGTGCTGAGATTCCCACTGAAGATATAAGGCAGTGTGAAGTTCAGGGGGTAGTTCAGCAAAGCAGGCTTGGCTCTTTGTTTTCCTGTGGGCTTCCAGCATGCCCAGGTATGTACCCTAACTAACGTCATGTATTATTTAGTAGGAGGGAAAGCTTTCCATCCACAGCAAGCTCAGGGCACCTGCTTCTAGGATTGGTCTCCTGGAGAACTAGCTGCAGCAGGGAATTAAGGCAAAGCTCTGCAGATTTTCTTGTGCTACAATTTTACAGACTATGGCCCCCCTCTAGGAGTTTTCTCAGCAACCCAGAGAGTAATCAGTAGTTCCCAGGCATTACTCTTGTTTTCCCCCGTGTTTATTTTCTGTTTCTGTTTTTGTTTTGTCCTGCAGTTAAAGAGTTACCAGGATGGCTGAGTTGCTGAGAGACTCCTGGCTTGCAGGAGCAGATCCTAAATGCCAAGCAAGGCAGTGGCACTGACATATCAAGATAGTGCTCTGCCCATAGTTTGGGTTGGTGTCTGAGGCTTCTTACTCTAATGAGCTGCCTTCAGGAGGCAATTATATTGTCTTAATTTATAAGTGGGGAAGCTGAGGCACAGTGAATGTGTAACATCTGTGAATCCTCACTCTTGTCCTTCCTTATAACTCCACAAAATCCAGGCTAGCCAGAAGAAAAGAAGTAGTGAGGTTCTGAAAGAAAAGTATATTTCATTCAGCAGTGAATTCAGCATGTTCTTCCTGTTCCTCCTTTCCTTGCTTTTTTTTTTTTTTCCCTGGTTATTTTTTATCCCTTGTTCCCCCAGGTCAGCACACCTGATGGTGCAGTTCTGGGGCATGTGGTTTATTAACAAATTATTGCTCTCCAGCAGGGGACCCTAACTTGGGTTTTGATTTAAGAGCAGTAAAACCAGTTGAAATTTTAAAGTATTATGTGGAATCTGGGAATTTTTAGTCAGCAGAAAGTAAAAGCACTGACAAAGATGGGCAGAATATACTCTCTTGAAGTCTCTTAGGTATGGGTAGAGAACATACTAGTGAGAGCAACTGCCAGCTGAGGAGGAGGAGCAGGCATGGAGGAGAGAATTGGAGTGCAGTAGCATGGATAATTTAGTGGTGAGGTTGACAGCTGACTAACTAAAGCTCTCATTAATTCATTAAGGTATTATTTAACATTATTTTTAAATGTATTTCCAGAGAAGCCATGGTTCACTGTAATAATTTAACAGGCTAAAGAGGAGCCAGGTAACACATGCTGAAGCATCTTTTCCTGTGTGTGCACATAAGGGTTTCCAACAGCTAAGGGAGCAGAAACAGCCATTTGCAAATGGTAGGAACTGGTGAGGGAGATGGTAATTCTTAAATTTGACTGGACCAACACCCCACCTCTGCTGTACCACACCCTGCTATTAACTTGCTGATAAGTGTGGTCAGAGCTGGCCTGAGTGAAGTCCTTTCTTGGCCCTGAAGCAGACTGGGGCAATGCATCATGCTGACTGAGTTGTAGTGGATGAACAGCTGGTTAACAGCTGGAGGAGGACAGGCAAACCCAAGTATTGCCAAACACAAAAGTGTTATTCCCTGAGCTTTGGGATCAGGTGATATGCCTTGGTGCTTCCCTTGGGCTCAGGAAGCTGTGCACGTCCCTCTGGGGAGTTTGGCATTTTGAGCACTGGCAGAATTGCCTAATAACCCATGACTTTGAAATTGCTAGCTGATAAATCAAAGATTTATTTGAGTCTTGTTTTATGTGTCCCTCTCCCCAGCTCTGCTGTGCTCCTTCCAGACTATTTAACTGACTGGTTAAACTTCTTTTCATGGTCTGGTTTATGTCAAGCTTCTTCTCTCCCATCCCTCTTAGTTATAATGCCTGCCTGCCTTTCTTGAGCAGAAGGTGTGAGATTGTTAACGAACTCATTAACATTAACTGATTAAGCTGATCAGAACAGAGCTGATCCCAAAGCAGCAATAATTAATCACTACCTTTGATTTTGTTTCCCTTATTACGCCTTATGAGTGTGTTTGTGCTCTAGGCTGCCTCTGAGGCTGGTGTCCAGGCAGCTCATTCCACCTTTACCTGGGACTGTGCTGCCTCTTAGCATGTGGTGTGTGAAGGCTCCCACCACAGGGAGGCCATGCTGCCAGCCTTAGCGTTTCCCAGAAAGCCAGGCACAGCGGAAGTGTTGCAATAAGTAACTCAAAAGAGGGGTCATTGCCACCTTAGTGCACCGAGGCCGTTTTCTTTTAGGCTAGGTTGTTGTGTTCATATTGTCTGATTAATCTCAGTGTTTCCCTGCTGGAAGCAAGCTTGAAAGACAAAAGTTTTTCTTGAGATGTCTACACTGTGGTTGCCAGGCAGAAGAGAGGAATGACTCCCAGAACCGTTGCCCATGGTAGGATTCCCTCCTGGGCAGTCTGCAAACAAGGAAATCAACCCTCCTGTGCTTAGCTGTGGCACTCCCCTCCACAGGAAGACATAGGGGTGGCTGTCAGGATGCTTGATGAAGACACAAGGAGACCACCAGTGTTTTTGTGCAGGGAAACATGTTGCTGCCAACACTTGCTACGGGTTGAAGGAGGCAGTGGCAAATGCTGTCTTGAGCATACTGTGCAGTCTCCTGTTGCTGTTATAGATACAGTTGGGTAAAATAGACTGGAGGTATGCCTTTTTTCCCTCTTCATCCAATCAGACAGCTGAGGGTGCTTTGTAGATTTCTGCATCTATTCACAGTGCTAAATCAAGACCCTGTCCTTCAGGCTTGGTTTAGGCCAGTGTCTCTCTTTTTATCCTCTAATTGCATAAAGATACCTTAGATCAGACCTTTGCTTGTGGACCCACATGCAAAGAAACTAGAACAGGGTGGAACAGGATCAGATCCTAGCAAAAGGTTGCTGGCCAGCCACACAATAGGCAGTATCAATTAGCTGTGTCTAGGATGATGATGTTAGTTGTCTGGGCTAGAGTACTGGCTGAGCTGCCACCATCTGAATGGGAATGAGTCCTTGTAAGCTGGGAGAAGAAATTATGGTGACTGGTGTGGTGTTTTTCAGATTGATGGATTGGAGGAGAAGCTAGCACGCTGCAGACAGAGCATGGAAGAGGTGGATCTTAAACTGCGCAGGGAGAAGCTCAGCCCCGAAGGAAGGTATTGCTGACCATCTCCTTACACAGCTGTGTATAGGCACTTCAGCTTAGCTGTCATCCTGCTGTTGGACCAAGCAAGGGCTCTTGAAGGGCTGGAAATGTGTGGTTTCCCCATGATAAGACTCTCTTCCCACAGCTTGGAGCTTTCTTGGGGAACTTTTATCTGTGAGAAGTGCAGTGATTATATGTATCTAGAGAGCTGTATCTTATTAACAGCCTGACTCTAATCTGTGCCACAACCAGACAAGGAGCACCTGAAACTTGCCAGTTTATTTGCAGACCTGGCTCCTGGCCTGTCATGAACCTACTCTGAGTCTGGCAAAGGTTTTCTGCACACTGCTGCTGAAGCCACCTTCAGCTGAAGGTTCAATCAGGGAGTTGTGCAGTGACTGCTACTGGGGGCCAAACCAGGCTGGGATCCAGCTGCAAAAGGCACTGAAGGAAAATACCTGTGTCTGTGTTGCTTATGTGTCTGGATGTAGATGCATTGACACACTAGCTTTTCTTGGGAAAGCTAAGAGGGACAATTCCCCTGAAATCTGTGGCTGTTGTAGAGGCAGCAACTGTTGGCTTCTAGAGCTGGGACTCAAGCAAGGACTTTGGCCTGGATTCTCATCATCATAGTAACAGCAATGTCTCCCTCCCCCGATACTTATCAGACTCAGTTTAACTTCTTTGTTAAACTCTCCTTTGCACTCCCCCTTCTTCCTTTAATGGAGTTTTATATCCCCATCCATATTTAGGCGGGGTCCTGTCTCTTCCTGTCCCTTATTTCTTTAGCTCCTCATCTCACCAATCCTTTTCTGACCCAAATTCTCCTTGTTTACTGTCTGTATTCTTTATCTGGTACTTAGGTGGCCAACAACCAAACCTACAGTTGTGTTAACTTGACAGGATGGGTTATATGATGGTTTCTGTCCGAAATATAGGACCTAGAGCAAAGAATTATGAATTAGGGTCCTTGGGGCCTTCTATGAATTTTACAGCTTTTATGGAAATAGAAACAGAACTTCCATTGTCCTATTCCAGACCCTTTGAACAACCCTGGAGGGAAGGTGCCGTGATCAAAATTATTGATTCAGTGCATAGCACACAAAGAGGAGCTCTGCTTTTCTACTTTGAAGTTCATTTGTCATGGTTTCTTCATGTCTCATTCTCAAAAATTCTTCCCTTGACTCTTTTCACAATTCTGCAAATTCGTAAGTAGCAGCTCAGTCATGTTGGTAAATCTGTTTTCTCACTTCCTCCTCCACCTTGCCTTTCCCCAGTTTTCTTTAAGAGCCCTTTCTTCCCCTGCTGCTCCTGACATAACCTGCTTTCTTGCACTCCCTTACACTTAATTATCTGTACACATACATTTGGATCTTTTTCCTCTTACAGGCTGTTCTTGCTGTGCCCCAAGGGGAACAACAAACTCCGTTACACTTCCTGCCTTCTCTGAACCAGGACATAATTTGTTAGTGCATGTTTATTTATGTGCATAGTCTGAAAGGACTGACCATGTCCTTACTGCCATACTGGAAACACTGCTGCTTTCAGGATTTTTATTTTGGGTTTATTTTTTAAGATCTATATTAATTAATCATGTTATGCAGTTTAAGACAAGGGCTGGGTTGGCCTTAGTCTTTACTGTTATTAGTCTTTACTATATATTATGATCTATAACTATTACTGTTATAGATCTTCAGTCTAATGACAGGTAGTTTAAGTTGTTAGTACTGGGCTTGGATTAGCTTGTTTTCTTGAGTTCACCAATTTCTGTAAATTGGATACCTCTGACAAAGGGATCCCAGCTTCAAATGGTGAGAAGAATTACTGTTCTAGCACTAACCTTGATGTGGTGGAGGGGCAGGATCCTCCAGAGAGCATGTAAGGACCCTTCCCCATCCCATAGCAGTGTCAGAAATTCCTGCCTAACCTAGGGAGAACTAGAGTAGGGGACTGACCCAAGAGCCCTTTCTAGGTGTTTGCCTACACTACACTGAAAGGAGAGATAAGAAGTCATTTGGGGGAAGGGAAAAATAACCTAAAATGCTGCATCTCTTTCCTTGCACAACTGAGTGTTTCTAAACTGTCATGCTTCCAACAGGAAGGAGGGGCTTATCCTCTTAGCAGATATCCCCAGCAGTGGGGACAGTCTCTCTTCCATCATGTAAGCAAAGAAATAGGCTGTGTTGTGCCTCGCAGGTAATGAACTCCTCTTCTCATTACAGAAAGTCCCTGGAGAGAGAGCGAAACTTACTAATGACCAAAGCTGACGACTATGGTAAGAGCTTCATTAAAAATGGTCCCTCTGGGCAGGATGGGATCAGTGCTGCAGCTTAGCTTTGTCTTCAAGCTCCTGCCACCTCTGACTTCTGCCTTTGAATTTAGCTTCATTCAAAGGGAGATAGACTAATGGAAATGTAGTCAGCATATTATAATAGGAGTCTGCATCCTCTTGCTTGAGCTGTACTTCCATAGGGAAAAACAAGGATCATCTAACAAAGGAGAGAAAATGTCCCCTCCACATACCCCAAATTACCAGTCTTCAGATAATCATAGCTAACAGATTGGCTTGAGTAGCTTTTAACATCCCACCCCCCAATCATTTTTTTGTTTTCCTAGAAGCAGCAAGAAGGCAAGTGCTATCAGAGGTGAAGCAAAGTATACCTTCCTTGGGGAAGGTTCTTACTGCATCAATTTATGAGGCCACTCAGCACAAGAGCATAGCAAATCACACTGATGTGCTTCTTGCCCTTCTAGAGCCACAGTCTTTCCTTGGTGCAAGTCCTGCTGTAGACAGTGAGAATGAAAGTCTGAGATACCACATCTGACAGCTCTTCCACTAGAGGTGCTGCTTTGCACATCTTCAGGCTCCTGGTATTGATCAGTGTGTTACCTGCTTGGCAGTACTCTGCAGCTGTGCAAGCAGCAGAGCTCATGGAAGGGAAAGAGGCACAAGTATTCTTTTAGGTCTAGAGTGTTGAAAGCTGGGGTATGGCCAGCAAATGTTAGATGACTGTTTCCAGAAGACTAACCGTTACTTTAAACAGACTGAAAGCTGTTCCCTAAGGGCCTACCACTAGAGACAGCAGAAGACTGAAAATTGCTGCCACCCCTTTACCAGCCAGCAGTCAGCCAACCCTGCTGGCATCAGCAGAGGAGTCTGACAGCAGCTCAGACAGCAGCAACAGCCTCACCTAACAGTGATATCACTGCTGTGGCCTCTGATTAAATCTTTCCTTATTCCAGCTGATGCACTTGAGGCCATGGACTGCAACTGCTGACAATGGCATTGTCAGCATCAGTTTAAGCTGGCAGTGCTGTGCATGAGATTATGTGACCCTGTCACCTCTTCTGTGGCCTCACAGATTCAAGCAGATTGCTCTGTGGTTTGCATGCAAATGCTTGTATTAGGTGAAGAATGGTGCAGAAAGAACAGCTAAAAGTCTCTTTTGATTACCAACACCATTGGGGGAACTGCTGGAGGCTGCTTGTTCAAACTGTAGAGGCAGTAACCTGTGAAGTCTCTGCAGATGAACTCAGCAACAAAAGCAGTGTCTCTGGAGACAGTCCACACCCAACCTTGCCTGCCAAACAGTGCTGTTTGGCCATGCAATGTCCAAGGCTGGAGGCCTCACTACTTGCCTGTACCAGCCAGCAAAGTTTTGTGGAACAGAACTAGCAGGAGTGGGGTTCTCATCTTTGTAAAGGGAACCAGACAGAAATGGAGATCAGCAAGACTCCATACTTGAAGTAGCCAGTGTCTTCCTTTCCCTGCATCTGTGGTTCTTTGGTTGCTTACCTTTACCCTGGTTTACCTATCTCCAAAGAGCTTCAGACTCCAACAGAATAAGTGTCCAGGCTCAGACCTTTTCCACACTGATCCTTCTGAGCTGTAATGAAACACAGATTCTGCAATTCAAAGGTGGCCACAGTTGTATTTAAGTTTTAGCACTAGAAAGAAGCTACCAGGGCTGTTACATTTAGAAGATAGTAGAAATAGCTCTCTGCCCTCCTGTCTCCTTCGTTCTCTTAGGGAACAAGCAGTTATTCTAATGACACAGTCCATCCTTAGTAGAGGCCTATAGCAGTGTCATTTGTTAACAGGAACTGGTCTGGCAGTAAAGTATTCCCAAGCACAGCTACCACAAGTGTCAGGATGAGAACAAATGAAAAGGTTCCTGCTAGTTTGGCCAGTTACTTCCCATTCAGCACATTCCATAATTGGCGGCTTTGTGTACTGCTCCCAAAATTTTTGCCTGTGGCCAAGGTAGCTTTGTGCTTGTAGGAGGGTTTTGAAATGAGGTGTAGCTGCAACATGAAGAACCTTCACAGTCTTTTGTTTGTTTCCTAGAGAAAGAACTGAGTGTGCTTCATAAGAAAAATCGCAAGAATGCTGCCCTTGCTGTGGCCATGGCATTGCTGATTGCTCTTATTTACGCCTGCTGGACGATGTGATTGCACTCAAGAATTCCCCCTGCTCAACAAATGACTCCTGCAAGGAGCTCTTCCTCTGCTCAGCATTGTGCCTCCCCCAAGGGTGAGGATCAGCATTTCAAATTACTGTTCTTGTTTATTGTCTTCAAGCCTTTTTGTAGGGAAGATTTTTCTCTGCAAATTGAGGAGGACAGGAAACAAACCAGAAATCACAGCACACTTGCTCTTGGAAATCAGGTCAAGCAGAGCTCAGGGTAGTGCCATCTTAGCCAAAACACAGTCAGGACCATCCAGCCTGATCCAGGAAGGCAATACATTCTCCCTTTTGAAGAGGACCTTTGTGATTGCAGACAGGTGCTTTCTGCCCAGCCCAGGTGGAATATACACCTTGGCTCCTGTGACACAGTCATAAACTGAGGGGACCAAGCTATTGATTCAAAGGGTAATCTGTAGGTACCGTGATTTTATATGTTCCCAGAGCTGAGCTAAAGATGCTTCCTCCTCCACGCTGACTTCCAGGACCAAAGGAAGCCTACCTCCACAAAAACAGATGGGATGTCAGTATCTCTGCAAGTGGGTAGCATCCACATTGAGATTGGGGTGCTTGGGCTGTGAGATGATCTGCCTACCTCTCCAGTGCATCAGAGCTTAATAACCATTTTGTGCCTTTGAGAATCAGCATTTGCAGAAGACAATTTACTATCAACCCCCAGAGATGTAAGTGCTTCTATAGAGCTTTAAATAAAATAATTTGACCCTTTAATTACCTGTTTTGTTTATTTGGTTGGGGTTTTTTCCCCCTGTTCTGTCCTGTTTCTCAGCCACTGCTTTATTCTCATCCTACTATCTCCCCACTGCCACACATTGCACCATGGTAAGCCTAGACTAGGTTAGGCACTTAACCCCCTGGTCAGTGAGCTCTCAACAGTGGGTTACTGATCTGTTTGCGGCCTGGAATGTACTTTGAGTGGAACAAGAGCCTACCCATCCATCAGAGTGCCAGAGACTGTCCCCTGTAATGCCCTCTTGTTCCACTGCTCTAAACTTGCCACAAAAACCTTTAAAAGGGACTGCCTTGAAAATTTAACTCTGATGGTACTTCTCTGCTGCCACACTGACAGATACTGCTGGCCCAAATTTTGTGGGAAGCAAAGGAAAGAAGCACTGCTGTGAACTAAAGGGGCTGTATTGGTTATAGAACATGAAAGCATAGAAGTCAACACAAAATAATACAAAGCCTAGTAACAATACATTGTGCAATTAACATATATATACACTCCCTTCAGCAAGACCTTCCTCACCCACCATTCCCAACAAAATCCCTCAGCAGGGAAGCAAGTAGCTTGGTGGCTCATGCTTGCAGACTTGAAGGGAGATTTAGAATCAAGTTTGAGTGCATCAAAAATAAAAATAAAAGCAAATTAAAATGAGGAACTAGAGACAACTGAGTAAACAAAGTATCCATTCATGAAAGCTAGCCTGCAGACTGATCAGGTTTTTTTGTACCCTCCAAGGTCTACACTGATCCTACTTCCTAGTCACTCTTCTAGCCCACAGTAGTCAAAGTTCTGAGCTGAGGACAAAACACTCTGTGAAGGAGCCTGGCAGAGGGAGCAGCATGCTTTACTGGCACTGAAACAGCCTCAGTGCAATCCACCGAGGTCTTTAGAACTCAAACTGATGGTTGGTTTAAAAAGCCAACTGTATACAGGCCTGGACACCAGGGGTTGAGGTACTTTATTGCCCCCTGGGAGAGATTCCACCCCCCATTCCTCATGGAAGTGCCTTTGCCAAGACAAAGCTACCAATGACACACCTCTTTTTAGGGGGAAAGAGCCACTGTTTCTTTCATACATGTCTTACCAAAGTTTGAGAGTGGAGAGAGTCTGCAGATCAGCCAAGAGGATTGCAGTCCTTCAACTACTTTGACAGACCTGTGTCTAAATCAAAATTTCTGTTTTGCTGCACAGGCTTGTTCAAATCATTCATATGGATGTGGAGAAAAAGACACAGTCTAAACAACTGCTATAGATTCTAGAACTATAGCTTTCCTTAAGGCACAGTTCAGACAAACCCCTAAATCACTTTTCTCCCTACTTCCAATCTGTGTTTAAAAACAAGCCAAGAACAAAAAACAAACAAACAAACAAACAAAAAAAAAAAACTAACAAAAAAACCCCCAAAAACCCAAAATTAAAAAAGGGGACTATCTTGCTGCTTGTCCAAAAGCATTCAACTACGTGTTACCTTCTGACCTATGTGGAAGACTTGGCAAAGTACCATGGAAGTCAGAAGTAAAGGTAAAAGATGCAACAGAAGCCAACTTTGAGCCTGGCACAGAAGCGCATGGAGAAGTCTTGACACAAATGCCAAACTGAAAGTTTCTCAGCTCTGTGCCTTCACTTCAGATGCAGTTCCAGAGCCAAATGAGATACAGAGGATTTCAAAGCCACTCTGGTATTTTAAAGGGAAAGTCTAGTAACCTTTCCATTGCCACAGGGGACAAGGATTGCTTCTGATTAACCTGCATGGGTAAAGTCAAGATATCTTTCTATTGAAGTCCTAGGTCTTTTTAAAGTTAGAAATTCCCATCATTTCTTCCAGACACTTCAGCATCTTAGCTTTTCTGTGTCTTCCCTCCCACATCTATTCCTCCCTGAAGGTTTAGGTAATAATATTAAGTACCAAGAATCAAAACACCTTGGTCTCAGAAGTACCATGAAGCACATACACCAACCATGGTACATTTTCACAAATTAGTCCCAGACTTCTGGCTTGGCATCAGTCACTAACCTGGAGAGGGGAAATCCCTATCAAAGCAGCTTGCAGAGGTGTAAGCATATCAGATCTGTGCCACACCTGCATTGGCCTTTGTTCAACAGGGAACCATAGATAAGAATTGCCAGTGGCTAGCTGAGTGCCTTGATAAACAGAAGTGTTAGAGACACCAACAAGAATATATAACTTTTGCCCACAGCTCACCAAAGACTTAACACCCTCCACTGTAGTCAAAGCCTTTGACAAGGCCAAGGAGACAGCTGCCGGGAGCAATGCAGGGCTGCTTCAATGTGCAATTGCTCAGCTCTGCCATCAAAACATCTCTACTCCTTCCCACATTGCAAGAGAAGCAGAAACCTGAGGAGTTCTGGCATACACAGAGCTCCACAAACCCTGCAGAATGTTTGAACAGGAGCAAAGAAAGCTGTCAGCCCTTTGGCCTCATGCATGCAGTACGTCAGGACAAAAGGACATTAGGCCTCAGCTCCAGGAGTCACCTTGGGTACTCTGGCACCAGGTGCTATCTGGGCTGTACTTATATACACTACCAGGGTAAAGCCTCATCCTGTGCCTTCTGCATACCACCCTCTGGTTCCTTCATCTCCAGGAAATCAACTCTGGAGAATACCAGGATAGAAGATGTGGAGCCTTCCCAGTCCCATCAGTTCCTGAAGAGTCCAAGCTGGGCTCAGCCCCTCCCTGCACCCTCAAGAGAGCAGGGTTAGGGGTAGTGGGCTTGGATGAAAGACAGGACAGTCTCCTTTGATAGCTTCTCTGGATCTTGTCTTTTTTGAGAGTCGTGCACTTTGACACCTTCCCCCCATTCCCAGAAGAGGCGGCTGTAATGGCAGACACTGTGGGCAGAGAAGAGAGCAAGATTAGTTTGGCAGGGAAGGGAGAATACTTCCAGCAGTGTGAGACAGCTGCTCTTGCTATGGGAGTCACACAGAAATACTCAGAACGGGTGCCTTAGAAAAGACCAGTGCATTCATTTGTTCACCTTACAAACTCTTAGAGCCCTCAAAGTACAGCAACAGCCAAGTCGAAGAGATTTCCATGGAAACAAACTTGTTAATTCTAGCATCACTCAAATTCAGTTCAGTATTTGCTGGAAGGAATCAGGTCACTAGGGAAAAACCCCACCTCCCCACAAGCTTCTCAGAGGATGAAATTGTCATTGCAGGCAATGGAAACACCTCAATGACAAATTTAGAAAGTTGCTGCCAGAAGTAGCAACCTAATCTCTCACCACCTACTATAATCAGTAACAGCTGTTCTATGGAGCTTTGCAAACAAACAGCACTTCCCACTGCACAAAAGCAGCTAGGATCATTCCCTCTTTCCCCTCATGTGAAATAACTGAGCCCTGCTTGGCTGCTGAGAGTTCATCTCCCATTCCATCCATTTCCATCCATCAAGCACAGCCCTCCCTCATTGCATCAACACAGTCCCAGCCATAACGAAATCAGAGCTGCTAATTACTGACAACACAGCAGCCTTTAGTTTTGTACAATTACTGACGCTTAATATTCATAGCTTATTTAGTGCTTCTGTTCTAGCAAAGCAGTACTAGCACAGTGACAAGAGCACATGTCAGTGGCTAATTACAGACATATTAGTACACAGTAACTACAATACATCCCTTCTGGAGTCCCACACAACCACTCCCTCCACCTCTTCAGTCATTCCTGTAGGTTCATGCTGGCCTATTTTAGAGTACATAGGCAGAACTGAACCCATCCTGACACACGGAGGGGGAAAAGCATCATGTGCCTCTCCTTTTAAGCCTGTTCCGCCATTCACCACATGAAGAAAGGATTAAAAATTCTTGGAAGTGCTGCTCTAAGACAGGTAAGGAGGTTCAAAGTGAGAAAATCAGTAGTGCTATTTCATATCAAGTTCTCACTCAGAGGCACGGTCCTGGGTAATAGTGGTAGTGCAGAACATCTCTACCCCGTACCCTTGAGGCATCAGACTCAGGATTTGGTGTCAGCTTAGTACTGACAGCAATGACAGGTTTGTCTTTACAAACTGTGGGTCTGCTGATAAGATGGAACTATCACTGAGAGATAACAGAAACAATGGGATGGATACCACTGAAGGATGAAAGGAACACTGATGAAACACCATGAATTCTACAAGAGTTAAGAATTAAGAGGGGGGTTATGCACTGGGGGAGATCTCAGCTATCAGGCATTCTGGGAAGTCTGTACCTCTCAAGTAGGATAAAAAGGAGGCTGCGCCCTCCAAAAATTTGAGACCCCAATGGAATGCCCCATGGCCTCTCCTTTTATTCGAACAAAGAAAAAGGACTCCTCTCTGTCTCCTTTTAGACATAAACCTCTGGTGTCTGTGGATTAATTTTCCTGTACTCAGTAGATACAGATGGTTTTCAGCCACAATGTTAATGACTGTCCAGTGACAAGCCACTCCATCCTTTTCCAAAGAGCCACTGTTTTTCTCTCTCACACTCTTTAGAAAAAGCTCCCATCTTCCCACAGATTATTCCAGAGCATGGGCTAAATGAATTTGGATTCACTTTTAAATCAGCAACTTCCAACCAAACACGTTGAATACAGAGATGCAACAAACTACAGTTGCTGGGCTCAATTTCTACTTCCCCGCCTGTAGGAGGTTCAGTAACTTGTAGTCTGCTGCAGATAGCAGAACAAAGTTGTGAGATATTTGTTATTCATAGCCATTAATTGCAAAATCCGTGATTCCACACCAGCAGTTTCCTGAAAGCCTGAGAAGATTGCCGGCTCCTGCAGCTCGCCCTGCTGGTGACCAGCTGCACTTGCACTGCAAACCACTGCAAGGGTACAGCACTGTTGAGCTCCCTTCCAAACACCCAGGCACACACACATCTGCAGACATCTGTCCATAGCCTCCCCTCTAGCTCATACTCACTGAAAGGGTGCAATGGCTTCAGGAAGGAGGTTGTATGTTGCTACATTGGTCATTTTGTTGAAGAAGAATTTCTTCTTGAAGTTTTTGCTGTATGCCATTGTCCAGGGATCTAGCAAAAGGGTTGCAGGGATCAGGTAGAAAATAAAAGGGGGGAAATAATCACAGAAGAAATACACATACAGTGCAAGTAGAGAGGAGGAATCTATAAGAATAATTGTGATCCTCCCTCCCTCTTCACTGAGAACAATCCCTTCTCCCTGCATTTAGAACTTTACATTTAAAACAGGGTATTTCCATGTCCTATTATTCTGGAAAACATCTTGATGATAAATTATTATCTCATGAAAAAAGAAGGTAATCAGTCATGTAAATAAATGAAATTACCCACATGATAGCTAATCAACCAACAACAGAAAAACCTATATTAACACATTAAACCTCATCCAAATCCAAGCTACCCTCATTACATGCAAACACTTAATCTCTAGACATTGGAATATTGCCATTAATTTTTCACCAAGTTAAGATAAGATGAGCAAGCCTGGTCAATACTTTTTACTAGGAGAGACCAAGAAAAGTTGAGAGGGAGTGGGGACTCTCTCTTCCTACCATTCATAGTCCGTACGATGTAGAGTCCTGTGGGCACAAAATGCCGGTCATCTCGGCCAGTGTAGGACAGCCGGGGCATTCCCCCTGAACTCTTGATGACTTTCATCTCTAACCTAAATTTTGAGAGAATCACAGAATGACCAGGTTGCAAGAGACCTTCAAGATCATCGAGTCCAGCCCATGCCCTAACACCTCAACTAAACCATGACACTGAGCGCCACATCCAGTCTTTTTTTAAACACATCCAGGGATGGTGACTCCACCACCTCCCCAGGCAGACCATTCCAGTATTTTATAATTTTTTCCATGAAGAACTTTTTCCTAATGTCCAACCTACATTTTCCTTGGTACATCTTAAGGCTGTGTCCTCTCATTATGTCAGTTGCTGTCTGGTGAAGGAGACCGACACCCACCTGACAACAGCCACCTTTCAGGAAGTTGTAGAGAGTGATAAGGTCACCTCTGAGTCTCCTTTTCTCCAGACTAAACAACCCCAGCTCCCACAGCTGTTCCTCACAGGGCTTGTGTTCCAAGCCCCTCACCAGCCTTGTTGCCCTCCTCTGGACACACTCAAACGTCTCAGTGTCCTTCCTAAACTGAGGGGCCCAGAACTGGACACAGTTCTGTGTCTGAGGGGCCCAGACACTGCCACAGTTGCGGCCTCACCAGTGCCAGGTACAGGGGAAGAATGACCTTCCTGCTCCTGCTGGCCACACTATTCCTGACACAGCCCAGGATGCCGTTGGCCTTCTTGGCCACCAGGGAACACTGATGGCTCATGTTCAGCTGGCTGTCAACCAGTATCTTCAGGTCCCTTTCCACCTGGGCACTGTCCAGCCACACCACACCATCCTCAGCCTATAATGTTGCAAGTGATAGTTGAAGTTGAGAAGGTAGTGGTAGAGTGTTTCTTCCTTTACTGTGCTTGTACCCATATCATACCACCTGCATCCCTTCTCCAGAGTGTCACAGTGAGAACTGAGAGCACTGCACAGGACTGCATCAAATAATCACATCCCGAAGAGTTGGGGTTTTTGCCTTCCCACACAGAACAAGAGAAATCAGTCTGACTTGTCTAGATCAGGCTGGAAATTGAGTGTTGTGGTAAAAAATCTGTGATGAGCAACCACAATTAATCCAAATTTCAAGTGTGAATTCTTGTCCTTTCAAGCCACTAAGAAGCCACTAATATTTCTGCAACCAAACTCAGGCACTGCTGCTACTCCAGCTGTTATGAAGTGCATTGGCCACATCTGTGGCATTAGAATGCAGCAGAATGATGCTCTGAGTGAGTAGCATCTCAGGAACAGCAGCCACCACGAGGTCTAACAGCTCTTTCTCCATAACTCCACTAGCACAGATCAGAACATCCCTCCCACTCCTGCGCACCAGTGACTGATAATCTCAGTGGGCCCTGACTTTTTATTTGCACCAATCACTTACCTCACAAAAATCTTGTCCATTTCTTCCAATCTGTACACTTCCTTCACTCTGGGAAGAAAGGACAAAAACATTATTTCAAAAAAGTTTAAACTGTTCTCTTTTTTTCTGCCCAGCTACAGGGAGCAGCCAAATGGTTGATTTTATACAGCATGAGGTAGTCAGGCTCAGCTGAGGTTCATCCTTCTCCTCTATCTTATGCTAAAGTGACTAGTTTTTCCTGGCTTGAGAAAACCTGACACATGCATGCTCATGGCTGGATTGCTGTAAGCAGCAGATAAATATCCTTGCTGCTAAGGAACCTGTGCATTTTTACCTCAGGTTGACTATACAGGAAAGTGATAAACAGTAAAAGTCAAGTGCTTTTGTTTTCCCATCAGATAAATTGACCAAGGTCAGTCCCAGGCAAGTTCTGGCCTCAGCACACTGACCTCACAGTAAAATTAAACAACCGGATCTTCACCATTATTATCCTCAGATATAAAACAAACTTGTTAGTTATCCTGAGATAAACAGAGCTTTCTTTAAAATCAGTAAAGATTATTTTGAGTCCTTATTCTGTCATTACATCAAACTGGTTTTGTTGTTTTGAGACACAGAAAAACAATCAGTAAGTTAAAAAAGCACTGTCTCTGATTGGACACCCCAACACCTCATTTCCCACATACTGGCTACAAGCATCAGGCCTCAAAGAGCACAACACCAACATTTTAACACCTTTCCACGAAAGCAGCAAATGATCCCTCTACAATCCATTTTCTCAGCTCTCCTTCTCACTTCACCTGCAGCCTTCCCCAGCATTTTGGGCTCCTCCAATTATTACAACTGTTTGTCATTAGGCATAGATTCCACTCATTACCTTTCATTAAACCATCGAGGAGAAGATCCTCCTTCCCTTCCTCCAGATTCTTTCATGATATTGCTGCACTTCAGCTTGTGAATGAGAAGCTGTTTTGTCCATAATACATATCTGATGCCTTCACAGTGGTAGCTCTTATGCTACGCTGCAGTAGAATTAATGAAATGGAAGGCCAGGAGACAACTGAAGCTGAAGCCCCTTGTCAGGAATTTTCCTGGGGATTGTAACTAAAGCCTTGTCCTCATAGATGCTGGTCAGTCCTGCATTTACTAACAATCAGCATCACTGTACCGCTGCTGACCCTTCAGGGCAGATAAGGACAGAATTCTTTGCAATGATTAAGCTCACTGGGTACTAGACCTACAATCACACATTTGGAATCAACACCAGCCAATCCACCTGTGATGAAAATGTGACTGTTTGACATGTGAAAGGAGGGCTCAACTTCTCCATTAACAATATTTACCTTAAATATACGAACAGCTTTTAGCCTCTTTCCAAAGAACATAACAGAACCATGAATTTCAGCCTGAAATCTTTCAGGTTTCAACACAGTGACAGCAAAACAAGTGAGGCTGAGGGAAGGAGGCATCACTCACCGGATGGGGTTCATATCTGGCCGGCTGGGTTTAGAAACAGCTTTGACAAACTTCTCTGCCAGCCGAATCCTGAATGAATATAGAAACAGAGCCTAGCAATTTAATGAGGCCTTTGACACAGCAGGTAGGTAACAGCTTCAACAGAGTAGGTGATAAGACAACTCAGGACATGCACACTCCCTCCACTGCTAGCCAAATGGGTCTAGCAAGACTTCTTTTCACCCCACCCTCTGAATTCAAAGCCCAGTGATACTGCCTGCTATCCATTAGGAACGAGTGTCCATAGTTACTCCGTAAGTCCACATGCTGTTGAACACTTACGTATTTATCAGGCTAGGAGGGACACTGTGTCCCTGAGGAAGGAAACAGAGGGGCTTGTTCCTTCTCTCTCAGCTCATTTATACTCCCACAATGGTCAGTTTACCCCCGGCTCACCCTACACTAAGGAAGAAGCTACAGCTACCCTCATACACAGAGAAGATACAGTTGGAAAAGCCTATATGTACTTCACAGCAGCTTCATTCACAGTTCATCTTTATAGTAATGTTTCAGCTGAATGCTTTTTTGTCTAAACACCGATTCCCAGTCACTCCTACATATGTACAGAAAAAAGCTTCTCCAGACCCCTACATACCTCTGGTTGAAATGCTGCATTCGAACATCATTGCCATTCAGTACCAAGACATCAAGGATGTGGATGGCACTGATTTTTCGCTGGGCTTTCCCCTAAGGAGGGCAATACAGAGATTTATTATTCAGACTGCTGATATTTCAGCTTTAATTTATAGCCTGTTTTTTGACAGGACATCTCTTCTAGCAAGAAGGCACCTTTCCAGATACTAGAAACACACAAATTCCCTGCTGCCCATTATACAAGAACATGGCATCCTCCAAGAACTGGTGCATTTCAAATACCCACTTCTGTCTTAGGGGAGGGAGAGAGGGTGGGACCACGGCTGCCATCACCAGCTATCTGTGCCTTATCAGGTATCACAAAGTCCAGCACACTACAGTATCCTTGTCTAAGGTGCTAGAGGACAGGGAAACTCCCAGGCAGCTGGGATTTTTCACCCTACACTTTAAATACACCATGAGGATCTTCTCCCCATAGCCTGCAGTCACTACTGAGCAGTTATGTACCCAGAGAGCCACAGACACATGAAGTCATGGCGGCAATGTCATATGCAGCTCTACTTAGAAAAGCAACACATCAGTCCAGAGTGTTTTCAAAACAATGTTGAAAGTTCATATTTCTAGCACTGGACAGAAAGAAGGAACTTAATCCAAAATAGTTACTCTAAAGATCGTATGCAAAAAAAAAACCTTGGACCTGACACAGATGGAACATTTTTTCTGCAGTATCTTACAGAGATTAGGTGAAACGGCTCTTCATATTTACAGCAACATGGTAAGATAAGAGAGTAGGCTCCTACCTCTCCTTTCAGCTCATGAACAATCTCCACAGAGAGAAGAGTATCTCGTGGCAGCTCAGTTTTCAAATCCAGCTTTGTCCAGCGGTCTGACTGGCGACCACCCCAAGTGTAGATCTGTGATTTCTGTACGTAAAGACAGAATCAGATTCAGCCAAGACCTTCTGAGTGCAGGGGTAGAAAAGAGACCTCTAACTGTAGAGCAACCCTCCAAGAATCTTTTTGTCCTAGGCTGTCACAGGCAGTTTCTTTGTCATAAGTTTTAAGGAAGAACATTAACCTCTACAGCAAAGGAACAAAAACACCTATTCTAATCTACCAGTGACTTTTTACACCCACACAAAGAACCAGAAATAGAACACCTTTAAAAGGGCAGTGAAGATAATTAGAGACACTAGCAGGAGTGCAGGTCTCTGTGTAGGCTGAGGTTACAGAAGCAGGGTTAATTAGTGTGAAAAGCAGTGACATCAGGAGAATGAAACATAAATAACTAGCAGTCTCCAGTACTGCTGATGAGGATTCTTTTGGGCCTTCAGGGACAGGAAAGGATGGGATGAAACTGCAAGGCAGAATAGTACACTAAAATGAATCAGCAAAACTTCTGGACTGTTCTTAGCACTTACCCCTAATCCCAAGAGGAACTTCTGTTCACTTCCAGACACCATACACCGGTAATCTAACACTTGGCGGATTTTCTCCAGTGTGCTGGAATTCAGAGGAGTGGGTTTGTAACTGAAGATATCAATGTCTGTGCCCTAAAGAGGAAAGTATGGGAAAGGCAAGACAGACACAATACATCATCAGACAGGTAAACACAACTTCTACATGAAACAATAACCCGGGTTAGCTTCTTCATCTCCTAATTCCAATAAGAAAAAGTTATATTTGTATGAAAGGACTCTAGTCAACGTCTCACCTGAATCAGCTCGAAGAACTTGGACTTGGGATCTGAAGATGAAGGAGCAATACGAGCCTGATCAGGAATCTGAAAACAAATTCATGTTATTCTTTGGCACATTCAGAGGATCATTTCTGGTTTCAAGATATGACAGAACATCCTGCCCCTGAAACTCCTGCTCTTGAGATTTGAGATGAAGAAGAGATGTCATGTGGCAAATAAAGTATCTCACATGTTTTGCAGATTTAATGTAGGCATACCACACCTCACAGAAACCAACTGCAATTCCACAAAGATTTAGTCTAAACCTTTGATATCATGTATGTTTTGATGAAATACCGTTTCATCAAAGACATACCATCAGCCTGTGAAGCTAACTGCCATATCTATGGCCCCACTGCAGTCAAAAGCTTAGGAAACAGAAACTGCAAACAAAAACAAGACCGTTTAGAGAGCTCTGCTGCTTGGGATCCAGGTGCTGAGTTCACTCTGTGTACAATAAAATATTCTCAACTGCACAGAGGCCTGCTCAGTTAAACCATATCAGAGACATCCTGTTTGATTACTTAAGAGCTTGAAACAGTTTCTGACTTTCCCACAAGACAAGATATTAAACCTCTGTCTAGAAAGTCCTGTCTTTACCGCAGCTCCACTCTTGTTTCACTGCAACAAGGACACCTTCACAATTTGCCTGCTTGACACCTTACTTACCCCCCATAGCTGGAGACACTCCTTCCGGATTTCAGCCTGCCGTGGCTCAACCAGTGTCCTAAAGACAGAAGACTAAGACAGTGAAACCTCCTTGATCTTACAGCATTATATATCCCAGCCTTATAAAATTTGGAACTTTCAGCATTTGGCTTGGGAACAACAAACATGAACTGCTCCACAAAGGGTTGTATGAAAGAGGATTCTGCCTTCCCTCCCCACCATCCAGTTCCTGTATTTAGATTTGTTTCATGGTCTGTACTACTGACTATCAGCTATCTCTTCATTCCATGAAAGTACCACTGGATATAAATATTTTCAGTAAGTTATGTATTCATACAAACTTATGCTAATCTTCAAGAGCTGGGTACACAGCCCTATTTAAGAATAATAGTGAAGTCCTGTTGAAGGCCATACAAAAAACAGTGTCAAGCTAGAATCAGCTCTAAGAGAATTTCTAACTACCATATTCACTCAACTTTCTACCACATATTACACATATTCACATAGGTGAATGACACCTGAACAGAAAAGCTGTGGGGAAACAATGCAATGGCTTTAGTTTTATGCAAGAAATTAATGTCAAGCTTTAGGTAATTCTAGGTCTGTAACATAGATGTTTTGAATTGCCCCTGGAAAAATGAACAACTATGAACCACACTCAATTTGGATGGTTACTGCTGAATTGAACACGCCAGCTGCGAGTTACTTTTCTGTTTACATTCCCGCTAAGAAGTGGGCTCATTTATGGTAACTGGAAATCATTCAATGCATGGAAGCCTTCTCAACAAGGGTGATAATAGACCATCAATTTTCAGGACTTCTCCAGCCACCCACACATCTCTGCAAATAATTCAGGCAGAGACACAAACTGAGCTACCTAAAAGCACTTTTCACTTTCCTGCCTCCAAAGGCCAAGAAAAATACTAACTCAAATCAACAACTTATTAAACAAGGGAAAAGCAATTCATTAATAGCAGGTTAATTCAGTCTTCACTAAAAGCCAGAAGAATATACTCACGTGTCTTGAACAAAGGCACGAATTTTGGCTAGTGCCTTTATCTGAACTCTGCAGTGGCTAAAATAGAAGAAAAGTTTTAGTCAGGGAGCAAATTAATCGCCACCAACATTGTTCTACCATTCAAAACAAGAAAGAGTGACAGGAAAATAGGGGGAAGCTAGTCTGATTCACAGAGCAATGAGGGATCTTAGCCAACATGATTCAAACTGACAGGAAGATCACTGGAACAAATAAGGCAGTACTTCCTTTTCTACACAGTACTCAGTGGCCAAACGGTCACTAAGAGTAATACAGCATTTCTGTTTGCACAGAGTCCCCCTGCTCTGCTCAACCACTTAAGAGAGCAAAAGCAGAGCAGTATGGCAGCATCAATAAGTACCTCCACGAGTACAGGAAGTTACACCTGAAAGCCATGCTAAATTAATCTGTCTACAGCCAGCAGCCCTCATCACCCATAGTAACTCACTTTTCATTGGATCGGACAATGTAATTGTAGAAATCCTGGTTGGTTTTGATCACATTCAGTGGGACAATAAGATTCACATCCAAGTCAGAATTGCGCAGCTGGTTGAGTCTGATGTTCACTGTGAAGAGGTAACTCCGCACATCTTCAATCCCTGACTTCAGGCCTTTGCATACCACATACCTGCAGAGCAAGGCAGAGAGATCAGGTAGGCTCAGTCCTTTCACAGACAACTTTCCAGCCACACTCCCATTATAAGGATAGTTTCCTAAATCTCAGGAACTCTTTCATCCTGGATATCCTTAAGAAGATGCAAACTCACTTATCATTGAGTCATCATACATTTTCTCAGCTCTGGAAAGACAGGGAAATGCAATCCTATGTAAACCTCCCACAGATCTCCCTCAAGTAGTAAATCAATTCTGCTAAACTTGACAGGTACAATGAAAACACAGGTAATATCACAGAATCATAAAATGGCTTGGGTTGAAGATCATCCAGTACCTTCAAGTACTGGAAGGCCCCAATTAGATCACCCATAAACGTTCTCTTTTCCAGGCTGAAGAATCCAAATTCTCAGCCTTTCCTCATAGGAAATGTGCTCCATCATTAAAATCATGTTGGTGTTCCTCCTCTGGACTTGCTCCAACAGGTCCATGTCCTTGTGCTTGGGACCCCAGAGCTGGATGCAGCACTGCAGGTAGGGTCTCACCAGAGCAGAGTAGCAGGGCACAGTCCCCTCCCCTCATCCTGCTGGCCACGTTGCTTTGCATGCAGCACAGGATGCAATTGGCTTTCTGGGCTCTGAGCACACAGTGCCAGCTCATGTCCAACCTCTCATATATCCTCTGGCTTCACTGAAACCATAGTTGTTCCATGCAAAACAAGATTTGTTACATATCCAGTTCCAGTTTCCTTCCCATAAGAAAAATTTTGCAAACACCATCTTTACCTTGTCCATAATTTGCCAAACATCTAAAATGTTTCCTCTTCCAAGACAGCTTCTAATTGAGGCAGGTCACAAAGCTTTCATTAGGATTACCCAAATCCATCTATCACTGTATTTGGAGAATTGTTTTCTTTAGTAGACCCTCATGCTCAAGCATCTCACCTCTCTGAGTTAGCAGGGCGGCTTGTCACAGGTTTAAAGATGCAAACTCTCTCAAAGCAGCAATACAGCAGATAAACAAGACCCACACTGAATGGTGTAAACAAGTCAAAGGTTTTGCAGACAAAATGTCCTCCTGGAAAAAAAAAGTAAGTACACCAATGCCAGCAGATTATAAGAAAACAAGAAGCTACCGAGCACCGCAATCTTTCCACAGAACTAGTAACAGGGTTTTTGTGCAATTAAACAGTGTCCAGAACACAGTATGAAGTGGGCCAGCAAGGCAGCAAGGCCAGCAAGAAACATCTTCCCTAACTCTCTGAAGCAAAGAGAGAAAAGCATTTCCTTGCCAAGATTCTAGTCTCTCTGTAGGCTATCTCACAAGCAAACCTTTTATTTCCACCCCATCCTTCCCTTCCATGCCCAGACTGTGCCCTACGGCATGGCAGCATGCTATCCCAAATCCTCCAGGGAAGAGGAGCCTTGATATATGCAACGAGGAACCTCAGACTAGAGAAGACTAATAGATGTTACCTAAACAGAACAACTTCCCATCCAGAGAGAAAAGTCTTTGTTGCCCCTTTCCTTCAAACAAGATTTCAGATTTCCCCAAGCAAAAAGCTGGTGTTTTTACAGAATTATCATCTACCCATGTAGAAAAGACTTAAAGAAGGCTGCCCCTTTTATCACACCACATTTGAGACTACTCCTTAGTAGATCATTGCCTCAGGTTCTCCTAAATATAGGGCACAAGATAAAAACAATCATTTTGTTACCATTTGTCTTCTAAATCAGTGCCAATGCCTAACTAAACTCAGTGGAAGACAGAAGCCATCAGAATCAGACACAGTGTAAGGACAATCATTTAGCAATAATGAGGTCCAGCTAAGACAGGGTAAGGCATCATGTGTTCTTATCACACAGATGGCAGATTTAGAGGAGAAAAGCCTTCAGAAGCTAGAGGAAAGGAAGAACTGGATAAACACCACTCAGTTCCAAACAGCTGGGATATTGAGGAAGATGGTCTAGCTAGTGCCATAAAACTCAGATAGACTGTCCAGTTATCACACTGCATGACCTTACCCCAAGACAGCTACATAACCTAACAAATTAAGTGCTTTAAATTAATGCATTTTAGCTCATGCTTTTAATTAAAAGCAAAATAGACATAGATTAGCTTATTTTTCTGACCAGATCTCTTAGCTTTGTGACAACCATCCCAGGACTTAGGTGTTCAGATTCAATTCTGTTCAACTCATGGCAGAGCAGACTTCAAGGAACCAATAAAAACTATACAGAACATTTCCTCAGTACCACCCACATCTTAGAGAAGGAGGAAGATTAATGGACAAAATGTACCTGTTCGCACAATGGACAGTGCTGTAAGGAATTGGCAAAGCATGAGTTGTTTGCTTAGGATTTCTTGCAGATTCTCCTGCCCCTCCACTGAGAAACCCTGCAAAGTGCATAGCATATGACTAGTATCTCCACAAATCTGTTGGTCAGGCAAAGGATTCTGAAAACTAAATCATGGAATCATGATCATTTCTGTTTCTTTAAGATAAAAAAATCAACACCAGGAATTTTAATGGCAAGGCTTGTACAATTTCACATTATAGTTACAGATACATGTCAAACACCCTATTGTATGCAGACAAGGTGTCAGTTTTGCCAGTATTTTTTTAGTGCAGGAAGAAAAAGAAATTAACCAACCCCATCAGCCATTAAGAAATGCACTCCCTTGTGATCAGTATTGTCCAACACAAAATTCTGAAAAGCAGTAATATTCTCTGATCGAGTGATGTCTCCGTCTCCATCAATCCCACCCTCTCCTAAGGAAAAAAAGGAGACAATCAATAACACATTTGCAAGTACAAACAAAAGATCAGTATGTACAGATGATTTATTGTATTCAATCACCATTTAGTCAGAAATTACAAAGACCTTGATAGGCAAATAAACATTAACAAACTCCCTTGCTCACCACCAAAGATGCTTTTTAATTCAGAAAAATTATTCATATTGAGTGACTGGGCTGAAACAAAACCATGCAATAACCATGCTCAAAAGACGATGTACATTAGCCTCAGCAAAAGACAAATGAAGTCTATGCGACAACATAATATTCTTATCCAAGCAGGAATGGCACATAGCTGAACCTGCTGAAAATGTAAAATTCAACCTCACTGCACAACTCACCTGTTAAAAACATGTTATTACAGACAGGGCAAAATTCTTTATATTGTACATTTGTAACCTTCTACTAAGAATTCAAAGAAACATAATAGTATATTTTCAAACACAGTGTAATCTGGGCTTTAAAAAAGCAACCCCCCAAAAAATTGTGAAGAAATTTAGAAAGAGTGTAGGGAAAGAGACAGAGCAGGTTTGTGCACAAATACTCTTACAGTTTTTTTTTTATGTCTCTTTTAAAAGAGAGCTACATTTTCCCCCAGCAGGTGTTTTAAAAAGCTGACCTAAGGTGTATTCCACACCTCACTAGCTATGCCTTAAGGAAGCCTGAACTTCTGCATGGTATTAGTCCCTGTCAATCTTCTACTACAGATTCTATTACCTCAACTGGAGGACTAGAAAGCAGAAGAGATCAGGATGCATGACATGGTTTTGATAACTGAACTCCTCACCAACCATCCTGTCAACAAGTGAAGTTATACTGGAATTTGTTACCATTCCTCACAACAGAAATATGGCAGGCTACTTCCTTCCCATCAGTGGAAGAGAGTCTATGCAAACCTCACTAGATTTTATAGCATAACAGAAAGGGATCAAGAAAATTAATCAAAATCATTGGGCTATTAATCTCCTCCTCTCTGTAATACCAGTTTGCCGTGAACTATGAAGATCCAAACACTGTAACCAGTAGAGCAATGTGTTTATCTACCTTGCTGCCTTTACCATGAATCTTCACTTTAACTAAGATGTAATCCTTAAGTGCTACTAACCATTCCCTAAGAGCTCATAGTCAGGTGTCAAGAGTGGCAGTCAACAAGAGTCAGTGGTGGAGATAAGAAAAAACACACAAGGCACAACAACAGAAATGCAAATCCTCTGCTCTGTAAGACAGTCACCTTCCAGTTTCTTTTATTCAGTCTGAAATAAGAAACACAAATACTAGCAGTCCTTGGATTTACCCTCCTAGTCCTAAAGGCAAGGCAGATAGAGGGCTCAAACACATCATCAAGATTAACAAGTTACAATGCATAAAATGAGACACAGCAATTGTCTGTGTACACCTGTTCAGTCTTGTCTCAAAGCAAGGTAAAACATGTTAACAAACCTCCTTGGATTAAGTAGCTCATTTAGTCACAATGATTCAGATACAGCCTCCAGCCCAAATCTGTTTTATTTTGCCTTAAGAGCCCACAATCACTTATCAGAGCACAGCTAGGAAGGTCTGATACAGAAACATGCTGACAGTCAGGCAAATGAGGCTTCTATCTCTAGCTCTGCTAATAGACACATTTGGGAGGCTGGAGCACCCCTCCCATGAGGATAGACTGAGAACACTGAGGCTGTTTAGCCTGAAGAAAAGAAGGCTTTAGGGAGCCTAGGCACTCTTCAAAGTGGGCTACCGGAAAGATGGGAAGGGACTTTTTATCAGGGAGTATAGTGATAGAATAATACATAATGGCTTTAAACTGAAAGAGGGTATGTTTAAAATAGACATTAACAAGAAATTCTTTACTGAGAGTGATGACTCACTGGGATGCATTGCCCAGACAAGTTATGGATGCCCAGTCTCTGTTCATGGCCAGCCTGGAAGGGGCTTTGAGCAATCTGGTCTCATGGAAGGTGTCCCTGTTCACAGCAGGGGGTTGGCGCTAGATGATGTTTAAAGTGCCTTCCAAACCACACAATTCTGTAAGTCATCTCATTCACAGTGTTTCATGCTGAGATCAGTGATGTGAGAAAAACATTGCCAAGCAATCTTTAAGCACTGTATAATGTTCAGATAAGTACTCAAGTATCAACTGCTACAATGAAATATGTTCCCAGGCCAGAATGGTAATAAATGCAAATGACTTGAAAAAATGAAAATAACTTATCAGAAAAATGATTTTACATGCAAGCTCACCAATATCAACCCTTTTCTCCAATGACAGCCCCCTTCTCCCTTGTAAAATAGTTCCCTAGGCTTCTCCTAGATCCCCCTGCTGGTATCAATACCAGCCCTGCCACTAATACAGAGACTGTAGCATAAGCAAAAATATGCTACATGGGTGCACTACATACCATAATAAGGTTCAAAGAGCTCACTGGAACCAGAATAGAAGTCCTCCAGTTTAAAATCATTTGGTCCTTTCAAGGTCATGCCAAATCCTTTTGCATGCCACTTCCGCCTCCACAAGACATATTCAGAGAAGCCTCCGGGACCAGCACACACATCAGCAAAGTAGAGCAGCTCTGCATCATACTCTTTTATCAAAGGCACCTGCAAAAGGAAACTGAGGGAGTTCTACTGACCTGTAACGGCTCCCATTTGTCAAACCACATGCACCATAAACTACACCACTCAGAGGAAACTTTCAAGGATCTGTTTTCTCAGCTAGTATCCTAAAAATTCTCCTTTCTTCCCACCTTCCACATTCTCTGAGAAAGCACTGCTGCTGGAAAGTTAGAGGCACTCACCCCTTGGTAGTCCTTAGGGTTTGTAAACATGTAGTCGAAGACATGGTCCATATTTGCCATCTTCATTGCAGCCCTGTGAACACATAAATGGGGCATTGTGAAGTTTCATCCTTGGCTCCCACAGCTGAAAATGGACATACATGGGAAATGGGCTACACTACCAAACATTCTACAAACCTGTTGAGAAAGAAAGCTCCGCGGATCATCTCATAGGGGTTAGACCTTGTTCGGGCTCTACGCATTTCTTCTCCATCCAGCTCATCAAATACACTCTGCACAAACAGAAGCAAAGTTCAGCTGGATCTGGCACAGGCTGAAGGAATAGGTAGGCATCATTTCCCATCTCCTTGTTTCTCTCTCCTTAGACAGCAAAATCCATGCAGGATTTGGTTCACCAATAAATGTTTTTCTGTCTCATAATGATATTTGCTCTTCTTCTAAACCACCTCAGCTCTTAAGCAAATTTAATAATAATGACAAATTCTGTACTGACAGTTCCAGAGCCTCAAAAGCAGTCCCAGCCTACAGTATTTCTTTCACATATATACACACACACACACACACTACTGCAGTATACAAGGGCATGATAAGATCTAGGAGGGAAGACTGAACAGACAAGAAAAGAAAGGGAGCTCATTTCCTTTGCTCGTTCAAGCCTTTAGCCTTTCAGTCAGACTAAAGGTGGGGTGACTGCTTTCTATCATCTCCCCACTGGTTTTGGCTGGGGTAGGGTTAGTTTGTTTCATAGTAGCTAGTTCTGAGATACATTCTGGATTTGTGATGGAAACAGTGTTGATAACATAGAGCTGTTTTCGTTACTTCTGAGCAGTGTTTGAACAGCATGAGGTCCTTCTCTGCTTCTAATACCACCCTGCCAGCAAGTAGGCTGGGAATGCACTCTTGCGGAGGCTGGAAGAGGTACAGCGGGACAGATAACCCCAGCTGTCCAAACAGATTTCCATACCATACCCCATCATGCTCAGCATATAAAACTGGGGGAAGAAGGAGGAAGCCAAGGACATTCAGAGTTATAGTTCTTGTCTTCCCAAGTAACCCTTGCATGTGATGGAGCCCTGCTCTCCTGGAGATAGATGGCTGAACACCTGCTTGCCCACGGCAAGTAGTGAATGAATTCCTTGTTTTGCTTTCCTTCCATTGAGCGGCTTTTGCTTTACTTATTAAATTGCCTTTATCTCAACCTACAATTTTTCTTCACTTTTACCATGCTCTCCCCAGTCCACTCCTTGAGGGAGTGGGCAAGCAGCTGCAGAGAGTTTAGTTGCCAGGTGGAGTTAAACCAAGACAATCTCTTAGAAGGCTGAGGTTCAAAACAGGCTGCTGAACAGATAGTAAAAAACAGGATGCTAGGTCATCCCAGTGACATCGAGGTGATAAAGGACATTCTGAGCTCTTGTCAATTACCTAACTACTCAAGCCTCTATAATTATTTATTTCACTTGCTTCCCCCAAATTTTAGTTCCTCTCTAAAAAGGGGACTCACCTTGCACTGCAGGACATTATGTAAAAGCTCTTCATTACAGAACTCTGTTTCATCTTCAATCATCAACTTCCTCTGCAACAGGACAAGAGCACAGAGAGCAATTAGCAAGCATGATATCATCATTTCAGAATGCAGCCAATAATGAACCAATAACAGATGAAGGCTGCCAATCACATACTAGGCTGTTTCAGCAAAAGCATGGCAATTAAGCTGAGGAATTTTCTCCCCTGTTAGGCATCTTGAGACCACATATGAAATACTGTATCCAGTTTAGCACTCTCTAGTACAGGAACAGACATACTACAACAAAAGCAGCAAAAGGGCCACCAAAATGACAAAGGGTGAAAAAGCACCTGATGTACAAGAAAAAGCTGAGAACAGTCAGAAGACAAAAAGGGAGATCCTGTGGCTGTACCTAACAATGGGACAAGTCCCTAACAGGAGACAGAAAAGATTGAGCTAGGCTCCTAGAGATGTACAGTGACATGACAAGAAACAATGGACTAAAGCTACATAAAAAATGCCAATTAGCCATAAGTAAATTTTCTTTTGTCAACTGGGTTGTCAAACACTGAAAAGATGTCCAAACAGGCTGTAAAGTTTCCATATTTGAAAATACTCAAAACTCCATTAAACAAGACCTGAAGCAACCTGATCAGATCTAGCTGAGTCTGCTTTAAACAGGAAGCTAAACTAGCAACCTCAAGAGGCTGCTCACAGTCTATGCTATTCTACAGCTATTTGACACGGCAACTGTCCCAGGCTGAGTACTCCTGTTTAGTCTTAGGCTGATAAGTACAGAGATATAAAAAATTACCTTCCCCACAGTCATCCACTCCTTCAGCTCCTGGGCATCTGGGATCTCCATGGTAAACTCAGGGCACCAGTCCACCTTCTCATAGGCACTAGGCTGCAAACACAAGTCATGGGAAGAGCCAAATAAAAACTAATTGCTTCCCAAAAGTTTGACTCCCAATGCTAGCATAAGGGGTTATGCCATGACTTTAGTGCCAAGTGTAGAGTTTTTTCTTCCTGTACTAAAACACATCTTAAAACACAACCCCAAATACCTCCACCACAAGAAACACCTTCACCGCATTCCCCTTTACTAGATTCTGATAATCAAGTCAAAACAAAAGTCTAGTACTCAAAGTACAGTTTAGAGGCACTGAAAAAGAGACAGCTGCCAAGAAAAACCACACTTGTTTTACACATTCTTTCTCCCAGTTGTTGCTGAACACAACAAGAGAAATAGGACTTAAAACAGAAAGTACTTACCTCTGGCTCATCCTGCCAATCAATATTAAGCTCCCCTTCAAATCCTTTGAGGGTCAGGCCAAAGCCTCTCCTTCCTTTTTGATTGGAGGCCTCAACAATATCCTTCCTGCCTTGGCCGTATTTTCCCAGACCTTCTCCTTCCCGGAAGCCCATCTTGGCCTATAAAGGGAGCACAGGGAGCACTCTGAGGCAAGTGGACTTGAGTTTATGTACTACTGCTAAGGTCAAAGAGTAGTGGGGAAAATGGCAGATCACCCTTAAGGCAGTGAGCATTTATAATCTCAATTGTAGCTTTCAGGACTTTTAAGTGAGTTCACTGAGACAGGACACAAAAAAACTAGATCTGAAGAATGATGTTTGAGATGACAACAAATTACAAAACGTTCAGTAATACAGGAACAGCCTGCCCAGAGAGAAAAGTAGTGAGGAGCCTGGAGCCATTCATCACAGGGTTCAGTAAGCATAGATGGTTCATTAAAAAAAAAAAAAGCTGGTGTAGGAAATAATTCATGTTGTGATGACATTCTTTGTTGTGAACATGCATTCACATGCATTTCAAGCATCAGTTAAAACTTCACATAAAACTCAGAGGAGGAATGCAAGACACTGGTCCTGAAACACATACACATCCCTTAGGTTAAAAGAACTTCCCTTAGGTTAAAAGAACTATGTTCATTATCTTCTAGTTTTTCAGTTTCTCTCAGTAAATTTTAGCAGAAAGAAAACAATAACAAAAAGCGGGGATGCAGTCAATTTCATGTGTGTACAAGACAGTAAGGAAATAAAAGACAGAGAACCCTGCTACAAAGAGGATCAGAATAAAAGTATTTTTAATAATAAACTGGTTATAATAATTTCCACTTCATCAGTTCGTAATATTTTGGTCGAAAACTATTTTGACCTACCATAAGCCTTTGGGAGACACTGTTATACATTGAGTAACGAGATGAAGTACCCTCCACAAGAGAGTCTTGTTTGAACTCATTGCTGAAGACTGGTCTTTTTTCATCACTCTCACTGTCAGACCCACTGGTGCTACTGGAAGACTCTGAAACCAAATGAAAAAGTGAGAATGAAAATAAAAAAAGAATAGGAGAAAGACATCTCAGTAATCACGAGAACATATTAAATTCATTAAATCCTCTGAACACACACATACACAGAGGACACTTCAACATCTCAAATGTGTTACAGGAAGCATGCAGGTGTAATGTAACTAAGTGTTGGTTGCACAGGGCGTGTTATCTTCCCTGTTGCCTCAGGGACACATACAGCCTCTCTGATCCCATGGATTCCAGGCCCTACAAAGGGCTGGGCAAATCCCATCATGCCAGCAGAGCACCACAGCACGACCACAATAGTACTGTGGTATTCCTGACCTTTGCAATGATCCCGAGGAACTGAGAAGGTCCAAAGGGATTCTTTCCTGAGAACAGTGACAATAACACCTTTGTCTTGGTTCTAGAAGACAGGTGTCTGCTAGGGAGGGCAGGAGCCCCACTTGGGATGAAAGAATGTAGGCCCCCCTCCCTCCAAATTATTATAATTTTGAAATCAAGGGGCTTTCAGGCAGAGATCTGGGGATAGGAGTAACAGTTCTTTACCAGTATAGCCAGGCAAACAAACAACAATAACTACAGCAATAACAAGAAAACAGAACCAGGGACCCCGGGACAGCTTTCTCGGCTGAGACGGGATGGAGGAGAGGCTTTGTTTTCACAACCCCCTCGGGCGGGCAGTCCCAGTGCTCCTGCAGGGCTCTGAGGAACAGTCGGCTGGAACAGCAGGAATGAGCAGAGATCCTGGGCTGGTGGATGAGGTGGATCAGGAGCTCCGTGGCGGTGCCTGGCACTGCCACACGTCCCGGCAGGGCAGGGGGTGCGAGGCCACCAACAAAGAAGGGAGAAGGAGAAGAAGCAGCAGCTCCATCTGGGTGATGGCGAAATTCCCTTCTCTCTCCCACAGCAGCTCCATGACCCAGAAAACGAATGTCTTTCCCCCGAAGCCAAAGAAAGCCAGCCAAAAACTATCCCCACCCTATTTTCCTGCCCCCTTCCCCCCCTGGGCCTGCCCACTCTTTGTCCTTTGTCGAGCACCCACTAAATATCCACAGTTAGGTTATCTAATGGGTAAAAATTCCACGGGCCTGCCAGAACAACAACAACAAAAAAAAAAAAAAAAAAAAAAAAAAAAAAAAAAGGAGGACACCTAACTCTCAACACTATCCACCCCGAATTTTTTCCCATACCAAAATGTTACATTAAATATTAAACCTTCAAATTATACACAAACACACACTACTTTAACTATATACATATGTGCATGGAGATACAGATACAAGCACAGTGTCATGGGTAGTTCACCCTAAAACCAGGTCCCCTTGGGGTATGCACCGGGTCTCTCCATCTTTTTGCATCACACACCAAGTGCAACCCGGTCCTTGAGCAAAGACAACCCCACGGATTGGATTGTCTTTGCTGGAGGCAGAATTAACCCAGTTTTTCCCAGCATACCTCTCATATGTACCACTGGAACCTTATCTCCGTCTGTCGTTCTAAAGAGCTCAGATTGGGTAGGGCCTGCTCGGTTAGTGGAACCTCGGGTGTTCACTAACCATGTGGCCTTTGCTAAATTAATCTCCCAGTTCTTGAAAGTTCCCCCACCCAGTGCCTTCAAGCTGGTTTTAAGCAGGCCATTGCACCGTTCAACTTTTCCAGCAGTGGGTGCATGGTAGGGGATATGGTACACCCACTTGATGCCATGTTCCCTAGCCCAGGTGTTTATAAGGCTGTTCTGGAAGTGAGTCCCATTGTCTGACTTAATCCTCTCAGGGGTGCCATGCCTCCAAAGGACCTGCTTTTCAAGTCCCAGGATGGTGTTCCGGGCAGTGGCATGAGGCACAGGGTAGGCTTCCAACCATCCAGTTGTGGCTTCTACCATCGTGAGCACGTAGCGCTTGCCTTGGCGGGTTTGGGGCAGTGTGATGTAGTCAATCTGCCAGGCTTCCCCATACTTATATTTCGACCAACGCCCAACGTACCATAGCAGCTTCAACCTCTTGGCCTGCTTGATCGTGGCACATGTCTCACAGTCATGAATAACCTGAGAAATGCTGTCCATGGTTAAATCCACCCCTCGGTCTTGTGCCCACTTATAGGTGGCATCTCTACCCTGATGACCTGAGGCATCATAGGCCCATCGAGCTAGGAACAACTCTCCCTTGTGTTGCCAATCTAAGTCTGTCTTTGACACCTCTATCTTTGCAGCCTGATCCACCTGCTCATTGTTTCGGTGCTCTTCATTAGCCCTACTCTTTGGAACATGGGCATCTACATGACAGACCCTCACAGACAGTTTCTCTACCCTGGTGGCGATGTCTTTCCACTCAGCAGCAGCCCAGATTTGCTTTCCTCTGCGTTGCCAATTGGCCCTTTTCCACCTTTCCAGCCATCGCCACAGAGCATTAGCTACCATCCATGAATCCGTGTAGAGGTAGAGCTTTGGCCACTTCTCTCTTTCAGCAATGTCCAGGGCTAGTTGAACAGCTTTGAGTTCAGCAAGTTGGCTTGGATAGTTGAACAGCTTTGAGTTCAGCAAGTTGGCTTGATCCACCTTCTCCTTCAGTGGCCTCTGCGACTTGTTGTGTGGGGCTCCATACGGCTGCTTTCCACTTCCGGTTCATCCCTACGATGCGACAGGAACCATCAGTGAACAGAACATAGCATGTTTCTTCTGCTGGCAGTTGGTTGTACGGTGGAGCTTCTTCAGCCCGTGTCCCTTCTTCCTGCTCTTCTTCATCAGTGAGACCAAAGTTTTCACCTTCTGGCCAGTTTGTAATTATCTCCAAAATCCCAGGGCGATTTGGGTTTCCAATATGGGCGTGCTGCGTGATGAGGGCGATCCACTTGCTCTGTGTAGCGTCAGTGGCGTGGTGGGTAGCAGGAACCTTTCCTTTAAACATCTACCCCAGCACTGGTAGTTGGGGTGCCAGGAGGAGTTGTGCTTCTGTGCCAATCACTTCTGAGGCGGCTTGAACTCCTTCATAGACAGCTAAGATTTCCTTCTCTGTGGGAGTGTAGTTGGCTTCGGACCCTCTGTAGCTTTGGCTCCAGAATCCCAGTGGTCGGCCTTGAGTCTCCCCAGGCACTTTCTGCCAAAGGCTCCAGGACAAGCCATTGTTCCCGGCTGCAGAGTAGAGCACGTTCTTCATGTCTGGTCCTGTTCTGACTGGGCCAAGGGCTACTGCATGAGCGATCTCTTGTTTGATCTGAGCAAAGGCTTGTTGTTGTTCAGGGCCCCAGTGGAAATCATTCTTTTTTCGGGTAACCAGGTAGAGGGCTCACGATCTGGCTGTACTCAGGAATGTGCATCCTCCAAAAACCTATGGCACCTAGGAAAGCTTGCGTTTCCTTCTTGCTGGTGGGTGGAGACATTGCAGTGATCTTACTGATGACTTCAGTGGGAATCTGACGCCGTCCATCTTGCCACTTTACTCCCAGGAACTGGATCTCTCGAGCAGGTCCTTTGACTTTGTTCTTCTTGATGGCAAAGCCGGCTTCTAGCAGAATCTGGATGATCTTTTCTCCTTTCTCAAATACTTCCACTGCTGTGTTCCCCCACACAATGATGCCATCAATGTACTGCAGATGTTCTGGAGCCTCACCCTTTTCCAGGGCAGCCTGGATCAGTCCATGGCAGATGGTGGGGCTGTGCTTCCACCCCTGGGGCAGTCGGTTCCAGGTGTACTGCACTCCCCTCCACGTGAAGGCAAACTGAGGCCTGCATTCTGCTGCCAGGGGAATGGAGAAAAATGCATTAGCAATGTCAGTAGTGGCATACCACTTCGCTGCTTTGGACTCCAGCTCGTACTGGAGCTCCAGCATGTCCGGCATGGCAGCACTCAGAGGTGGACTCACTTCATTCAATGCACGATAGTCGACAGTCAGTCTCCATTCTCTGTCAGACTTGTGCACAGGCCAGATGGGGCTGTTGAAGGGTGAGTGGGTTTTGCTGACCACCCCTTGGCTCTCCAGCTCTCGGATCATCTTGTGGATGGGGATCACAACATCTCGATTTGTCCTATACTGCCAGTGGTGCACTGTCGAGGTGGCAATTGGTACTTGCTGTTCTTCCACTTTCAAGAGTCCTACTGCAGATGGGTTCTCTGATAGTCCAGGTAAGGTATTCAATTGCTTAATGTCCTCCGCCTCCACAGCAGCTAATCTAAAAGCCCACCTGAGTCCCTTTGGGTCTTTGTAATAGCCATTCTGAAGGAAGCCCATGCCCAGAATACACAGGGCCTCTGGGCCAGTCACAATGGGATGTTTCTGCCACTCCTTCCCAGTCAGGCTCACCTCGGCTTCCAACAGAGTCAATTGCTGCGATCCCTCCATCACCCCAGCAATGGAAACAGGTTCTGCCCCCACATGTCCTGATGGCATTAGGGTACACTGTGCACCAGTATCAACTAAAGCTTCGTATTTTTGTGGCTCTGATGTGCCAGGCCATCGGATCCACACCGTCCAAAAGACCCGGTTTTCCCATGCCTCTTCCTGGCTAGAGGCAGGGCCCCTCTAGCACTGGTCATCCTCTCCTCCTTGGGCAAACATGCTAGAGGTTCCTTCAAGGGGATCATCCTCTTTTCTGTAATATCTGGCAGTTTGGTCATGGGAGGTCGAGGCTACCTTCACTTTAGTGGAACCTTTCTGGTTACTGGTTCCCTGCCTGAGTTGACGCACTTGTGCTGCCAGGGCAGAAGTGGGTTTCTCATCCCATTTTCCCATGTCTTCTCCATGGTCACGTAGAAAGAACCACAGCTCAGCTCGTGGGGTGTACCCTATCTCTCTAGCTGGGGGACACTGGGCTTGGAGTTTCGGGCTTGTGACTCGCACTGGTGCCATATGGAAACTGCTCTTCCTCATCTCTTCCATCATTTCCCTCATCTTCTCTTTGAGTTCCTTAATCACAACAGAAACCCAAGCCTGCAGCGGGCCATGGACCATACTGTTGAAATTTCTAAGCCTGGTGGCAACAGAACCCACCATCTCT